AAGTCCAAGTAAGGTTCCCAAGTTGCATCTTCAAGTGGGAGACCTGACCATACCACCAATGCCTCTGGTTCGATGTGATTCCCTTTGCGTGTCCACCTGAAATTGCTAGGTGGGCTCAGTTTGAACTTGGCCATCTTCCGAGAACGATGGGAGGGTGGTTGTTGTTATTGCTCCTGTTTTTGGCCATTTCTTTAATAGAGATACATGAAATACAGGGTGCAATTTTGATGTTGCTGGAAGGTCAAGCCTGTATGCCACAGACCCAATGCGTTCCACAATCCGAAATGGGCCGAAGTACCTTGAGCTCAGTTTGTTCCACCTGTGGCCTGCTACTGAAACTTGCTTGTACGGTTGTAGTTTAAGGAAGACTTGCTCCCCAATCTGGTGCTAGACAAGCCTATGCTTTCTGTTGTAAGAGTCGGCCATCCATTGTTGGGCTCGACGGAGGTGGGATTTGAGATCTTGTAACACCCTATCCCGCTAGAGGAGTTGGTCTTCCACTGCTACTACTGATGTAGACCCTTTCTCATATGGGAGTAGGGGAGGTGGGTCGCGTCCATATAGAGCTCGGAAGGGAGTCATTCCTATTGCACTGTGACACGTGGTATTGTACCACCATTCCACCCAATGAAGCCACTTGAGCCACTGACGTGGCCTATCCCCCTGCATAGCACCTTACATAGGTTTCCAAACTCCGATTGACCACCTCAGTTTGCCCATCTGTTTGAGGATGGTAGCTGGTAGATTTGAAGAGTTTCACTCCCTGTAGTCAAAAAAGTTCTGCTCAGAAACGACTCATAAAAGTTGGGTCGCAGCCTGAGACAATAGAGTTAGGGGTACCATGCAGTCGTGCCACCTCCTTAGTAAAAATCTCAGCCACCACTGAAGCTGTAAAGGGGTCGGAAAGAGGGAGAAAATGGCAGTATTTGGTGAATCTATCAACAACTACGAGAATGACGGACTTGCCATAGGAAAGGGGAAGCCCCGTTATGAAGTCCATGGATATACCCGCCCACACTTGTGTAGGAATTGGGAGTGGTTGTAGCAGACCTGCTGGAGACTGGGTATCAGCCTTATTTTTCTGGCAAATGACACATTCGGCTATGAATTTTAGGACCGAATTCCACATGCCTTTATAGTGGAATTAAGTGGCTAGTCTCTTGTAAGTGCGCAAAATCCCTGAGTGTCCTCTTGCTGGTGATGAGTGGAACACTTCAAGAAGCTGCTGAATATGGGCCGAATCCTGTGGTATCACCATTCGACGTTTATACAACAGCAAGTTATTCTCCACTGTGTACCCTGGGTGGCTAGTAGGGTCCTCTTGGACCTGTGAATGCAGTTTGTTCAGTTGTGGGTGTCTTTCAGCTTCTTCCCTTAACTGACTCATGATGGAACACGTTGGGCCCATGAGAAGTAATGGAAATAGTTGTGGTTGGCGTGACAGCGCATCTGCCACCTTGTTAGTGTGCCCTGCCTTGTATTTAATGACATAATCGTAGCCGAGTAATTTGGCTATCCATCGCTGTTGTTCCAAGGATAATACGGATTGCTCCAACAGAAATTTCAGGCTATGGTGGTCAGTTCGTATGATGAACCTCCTCCCTAGAAGGTAGGGTCACCACCTCTGAACTGCGAGAACAATTGCTATCAGTTCTCGTTCATATACTGACTTGGCCCATTTTTGTGCTATCAATGCTTTGCTGAAAAACGCTAGTGGCATTTCTTCTTGCATGAGAACCGTACCTACTCCTTGGCTTGACGCATCACATTCAATGATGAAGTCCTTTGAGAAGTCTGGAAGTGCGAGCGTCGGTGGAGACAAGACAGTTGTTTTGAGTGTCTCGAAGGCCTGTTGGGCATCCCTAGTCCAGCAGAAACCATTCTTCTTAAGTAAACTTGTCAAGGGGGCAGCAATCAGTTCGTACCCTCTGATGAATCGCTGGTAGTACCCTGTTAGACCCAAGAAGCCCTGTAACTCCTTAACATTTTGATGCCAGGGCTAATTTATCATGCTTGAGATCTTTTTCGGGTCTGCTGCTATAGTGCTGTTTTCGACTACGTGCCCTAAGTAGTGTACTTGAGTTTGTCCAAATGTGCACTTTGACTCCTTTGCAAAGAGTTTACGAGTCCTTAGTAGTTCCAAGGTGATTTGTAGATGTACTTGGTGTTCGTCCCATGTAGTGCTATATACAAGTATATCATAAAAAAAAAAGTATAAATTTGCGCAAATGGGGTCGAAATATGTCATTCATAAGTGCTTGGAACGTAGCTGGCGCATTGGTCAACCCAAACAGCATGACCAAAAACTCATAATGCCCCTATGTGTGTACGAAAGGTGGTCTTGTGGATGTCACCCTCATGGACCCGAATTTGATGATATCCCGATCTCAGGTCTAGTTTAGAGAATATTGTGGCCCGACCGAGTTCATCTAGTAGTTCATCGATTACCGGTATGGGGAATCGATCCTTCACAGTAATGTTGTTCAGGGCCCTATAGTCTATACAAAACCGCCATGTCCCATCCTTCTTTTTCACAAGTAATACCGGCGAGGAGAATGGGCTTTGGCTGGGTTGTATAATTTTTCTATCAAGCATATCTTGCACTTGTCTCTCAATCTCTAGTTTCTGAAAATAGGGGTAACGATAGGGCCTTACATTTGTGGGTGCCATTCCGGGCAGCAATGGAATGCAATGATCATGGGCACGTCTCGGTGGTAGTTCCTTAGGCTCTTGGAAGATTAGTGAAAAGTTTTGAAGTAACTGCTATAGTTGTATGTGGGCTTCTTCGGATCTGCTGGAGTTACTTCCTTGGGCTAGAATTGGGCCATTCCCGTTGGAGTCTATCTGCATTAAAATGATGTGGGTTGGGTCTGTTGCCTGTTTTCTTAGGGTGGCGAGACTAATGGGTCCTGGATCCTTGGACATCTATCCTTGAATATGCACCTGTGAGTTGCCCATTTGAAAGCCCATTGTGAGACGAACCCAATCACATATCACCGGCCCTAGTTGCCTTAACCATTGGAATCCGAGAACTACATCTGCTCCACTGATTTCCAAGGGATGTAGATCTACCTCTAACTCGTGTCCTTGTATCTTCAGTTTTAATCCTGTGCATGTATTGTAGCACACCAGATTGCTCCCATTAGCTACGTGCACCCAGAATGTTGTACATGGTTGGACCGGAATCCCTATTTGTCTGACCAATGTTTGAGTAATGAAATTGAGAGTGCTGCCACTGTCTACAAGAACCGACACATGGCGCCCTTGTACTAGTCCGATTACTCTCATGGTTTGAGAGGAGGCAAGACCGGTCAAGGCTTGCAGGGATACTTCCAGATATTCCTTTGTCCATTGCCCCCGTTCTTGGTTGTCCACTGGCTCGTCAATGTCTGCTGATTACTCGACGTTTTCGGTTTAGGGCTAAAGGAAGAATACTTGCGGGATCTTACAGCAATGGCCCGGTCCAAATATGTATCCACATGCATAACAAAGGCCCTTTTCTCATCGGGCTTGCATCTCAGCCCAGGTTAACCTCTTGGCTGAGTCGGGACCTAAACCAGAGTTGGCTTCCTTGCTTGTGATTCCTACTCCTGGTCTGGACTCCGGTTTACCCAAGATACCCGGTTCTGGATTCGATATACCTAGTCTGACCGCAGCTCCCAAGGGTCGATTAATCCTTCTTGCCCGATTCAATTTGTCTTCATGGAGTCGAGCTAAGGCTGCTGTGTCAAGAACGGTGGTCGGTTGCATGGCTTTAACCTCCAGCCACAATTCTTCCCTGAGTCCACCAACAAAACTGCCGACCAGTGCGTTTTCTGGCCACCCTTGCACGCGCACAGCTAACCTTCCGAATGCCATCTGATAATCTTGGATGGAGCCGGTCTGTCATAGCTTAGCGAGGCTTTCATCATAGATTTCAAAAGCCAAGACTCCAAATCTCATGGTTAAGGTGAAGTCCACCCATGTAGCTCTTGGGTGCCGTCGTCGGTACCACTGGTACCAGACGATCGCCTCTCCTTCCAGGTGTGCGGAAACTAGTGGAACACGATCTGGTCCCGGCGTATCGTGGTAATCGAAGTACCTTTCAGTTTGTAGAAGCCAGGACGTGGGATCCCCCCTTGCGAAGATGGGAAACTCGATTCTTGTCGTTCTTGATCCGCTTCGATGACTGGTGTCACTGCGTTCTTCCTACCCTTCCTGGTTCGGCACTGGTGGTGTTTGTTCCAGTCGCCCAAGCAAAGACGCGAAGCTCTCTCTTTTATTTCTTTGGCGTCAGCCGATAATCTTTGCATTTCTCCTTCCATGTTGTCGACCCTACTCTCCATCACGGACGACCTTGTGCTCGACATCTTGGCTCTGATACCAACTTGTTAGGTAACTGCCTAACTCAGGGGCTTTTCGAGGAAGCCTGCATCCTGAACGAGAGAGAGAGAGAGAGAGACTGAATTCCCAAAATCAATGCCTCCTCTTCTGGCTTCCTTTCCTTATTTATAACACTTCCGTTACAATTCTGTTATATCAGCCTCTCCACTTGTCCAATTTGTTTATTTAGTTTGTTCTAGTGGTTGGTTGTCAGTTACATTACTTAAAGGCTGACGTGGCCTTTTCTTGTACACTTGTCCCTCTATTCCCTTTATTTGTGTCTTAACATATAGTTGGGGTAAAGCTTATGGTGATGTATTTCCTTTAAAATGCTAGCAAAATCTTTACTGTTTGCTAATAATCCGAGACAGATGGAATACTTAATGTTGCATCTTCAATTAATAATATTAATATGCTTAGCTAGAAATTAAACTTCAAATCCACAAACCACCCAGAAAGCATAATAAAATTGACCAGTTACAGACTATGGACAGAAATAGGAAGAGATGCACAGAAACGCATGCACTGAAATACAAATAAGCATGCAGGAATGTCAAAGCAAAAATGTCTGCCTTAATGCATCCAATACCATGCAGCACCATATACAAATTTCAAACAAGTACTCCTAACTTTAATACCTCCTGAAGTGCTACCAGTGCTTCAGCCGTCCAACGAGTTACTTCTGGGGAATAGAAGTTGCTAATCTCCTTCACCTAAAATGTACATTGTACAAGTGATGATTGGCACCAAGTAGCATATAACACAATATCAAAGTTACATCTTACAAGGTTACAAGAAACTACACATTAGAACAACTAAAATTTTATAGAGATGTACTAATGCTTACTTTTAGATCTATCTGGACTTGTCTGAACATAAAGTTTTAACACAAATGAATGCAAGAGAAAACCCTAATTCCCCTTGAGAATTATGTTTGCATATGAAACTTACACCTCAATACCCAATGTCTCAAAGGCTCGTCATATGCTATTAGCTTCTTTTTTTTCCAGATTTTTTTATCAGAAACGGTAACTTTCTGTTAGAGTCGGCTGTACAAGGGTAGTACAGTCCATTTATGTTTAGTTATATATGTATTTCTCTGCTGATGTGGCCCTCACTTAAGTGAGGGCACAATGGTAATCCTTGTATATCTTAGAAGAGTATAAATAAAAGAAGGGCCGACTAGAGATTTTGTGATTTTTCTCTCTAGTTCGGCTGTGACTTTTCTCCTTTTTCTTCTAGTTCTCCTTCTCCTTCTCTCTCTCTTTTCCTTCTCTTTCTTCTGATCTAAACACATACGAACATCTAATCTGAGTTTTATCATGGTATCAGAGCTCGGTTAGTTGCCAAAGGTTATTCATAGCAGTATGGTATTGATTACACAAACACCTTGTGTCCGGTTGCAAAAATTGGATCAGTTCATGTTCTAATTTCTCTTGTTGCTATGTTTGATTGGCCCTTGTTTCAACTTGACATCAAGAATGCCTTTTTACATGCTGATCTTCTTGAGGAGGTGTACATGGAGCAACCACCAGGGTTTGTTGCTCAGGGGAATGAGAAGGTCTATAGACTTAAGAAGGCTATTTATGGACTTGAACAATCTCCCCGTGCATGGTTTGGAAGATTTAGTGAAGTGGTGAAGAAGTTTGGAATGAAACAGTGTCAAATTGATCATTCCGTATTCAGCTATGAATCAAATGCTCGGAAGATTCTCTTGGTGGTATATGTAGATGACATTGTTATCACAGGCAGTGACAGACCAGGAATTGACAGGTTAAAGACTTACTTGCATGATCACTTCCAGACAAAGGATCTTGGCAAATTAAGATACTTCCTAGGGATAGAGGTTGCAAGGTCCAAGAATGGTATTAATCTGTGCCAAAGGAAATATGTTCTTGATTTGCTAGAGGAAACAGGGTTGTTAGGTGCCAGACCAGCTGAAACACCTACGGAACTGAATGCTAGATTGGGTAGTGATACAAGTGAGGAGTTTGAGGATCTGGGAAGGTACAAAAGGCTGGTGGGTAAGCTTAATTACCTAACCATCACTCGACCTGATATCTCATTTGCAGTCAGTGTAGTGAGTCAATTTATGCAGAATCCGAAAATCCCACACTGGGAGGCAGTCCTAAGGATTGTAAGGTATTTGAAGGGTGCTCCAGGTCATGGTTTGTTGTATAAGAGTGGAGGAAGTCTTGAGATAGAGGGATACACAAGTGTTGATTGGGTTGGGTCCATATCTAACAGAAGGTCCACTACTTTTCTTGGTGGGAACTTAGTGACATGGAAGAGTAAGAAGCTGACAGTGGTAGCAAGAAGCAATGCAGAGGCTGAATATAGGGCTATGGCTCACACAGCATGCAAACTGGTGTGGTTGAAGCATCTACTAGAGGAGATGGGGTACTCAATTGACACTCCTCTGAAGCTATACTGTGATAACCAAGCTGCAGTTTATATCTCCTCTAATCCAGTGTTTCACGAAAGGACGAAGCACATAGAAGTGGATTGCCACTTTGTACATGAGAAGGTGCTTAGTGGAGTGATAAGTACAACATATGTGAACACAGGAAATCAATGGGCAGATCTGTTTACCAAAGGGTTGAATCGGGGAAGAGTGGACTACATATGTAATAAGCTGGGACTATATGACATATACTCACCAACTTGAGGGGAAGTGTTAGAGTCGGCTGTACAAGGGTAGTACAGTCCTTTTATGTTTAATTATATATGTATTGCTCTATTGACTAGAGATTTTGTGATTTTTCTCTCTAGTTCGGCTGTGACTTTTCTCCTTCTTTTTCTTCTCTTTCTCCTCCTTCTCTCTCTCTTTTCCTTTTCTTTCTTCTGATCTAAATATATATGAACATCTAATCAGAGTTTTATCACTTTCATGAAAATAACAGTTAAAAGCAATAGTGTCAACCACTCAAAATCTGAGTGTTGATCCCATACAAATCTCAAATCTAAAACAGCCCAAAATAAGCTTTCCCTAAGAGTCCCCTGCTTCGCCAAAGTGTCAGCCACAGCATTGGCTGATCTCCTTACCCATTTTAAAATTACACCCAATTCCCTTGCTAGGCAAAGTATTTCCCTCATCTGTTGTCTAAGGGTCCATACACTCAAGCTTTTCGTCTGCAACCATCCTATTAGAACTTTAGAGTCTCCCTCTACCTCAAGGTTTTGATATCCCCATTGCTTAGCCAATCTCATGCCTTGAAGTAGGGACGAGACTTTAGCCCTTAAGGAGTCATCCACGCCTATTGGGCCAGAATAAAGTGCTAGCATCCTGCCCTCCCCATCTCTGAAAACTCCTCCAACTCCACAAGGCCCCGGGTTTCCCAATGAGCTCCCATCGAAATTCAATTTTACTCATTGGTTTGTTGTATTGCAGGTGTCCAAAGGGGCTGAACCACACTTTGTTCAGCTGAAGAGTTAGCCACTACTGACCATCCCCTTAGGATATCTTCAGCTGAGAAATTTTTAAATAGTTCAGTTGCTTTCAGCCAATGTATAACTCTAACAGCTATGGAGTCAATACCTTGCCCCTTAGTTCTTTCCACTCCTTGGAATATCCTGTTATTCCTCTCTTCCCATAAGGACCAATGGATAGCAGCTCTTGTTGCCCTCCACATTATTTTGCCCCTTTTCTTTGGCAATGTGAAATAATTCAGATCAAAAAGAGTTGCCACGTCCATAGGAGGAGTCCACCTGCAACCAAACAGAGAAGAAAACCAATTCCACATAAAAGAAGCAAAAGGACAAGATAGTAAAAGATGTCTAATTGTCACTCCACAGCCCAAGCAAAGGCAACAAGCATGAGGAGAGACGTATCAATTTTGCCTTCTTCTCTATAGCTTATCCAAAGTGTTGACTTTCTAACATACCACTTCCAACAAAAGGCTTTGATTTTTGGAGGTACCGGCATAGTTTTCAAGGCGCCAAGGTGAGGCTTAGTAGGATGGTCTTTGGTACCGATGACATTTTTGTGAGCAATGACACCAGCTTAGTGCCCATGTAGACGATTAACAAAAAAAAATGCCAAATTTATTGTTTGGTTGAGCCGTTTCTTAGTAAACGTTTCTCTTGATTTACGTGAGAGCCATTTACCTGAAAAAACGCTAAAATAATGTTTTTCATTTTCAGGGGCGATATTTTACTGTTCAACACATGTGGGACCTAGGGGTATCAATGGACCGGTTTTGGGTTGGACTCCATCCAAATCAAAATCCATTTGGACGGATTGGACAGACCAATAAGACATATTCAATTTGGACAGAGTGGACGGACCAATATGACATATTGGATTGGACCTGGTCCGTCCATATAAAATTTATATTGGATTGATCCAATATCTGGTCCATTGATAGAAGATAAGAACATAAGTGTCAATGGACCAGGTTTGAGTTGAAACCAATCTAAATTAACAAGAACGTGAACAGATTGGACAGTCTCTGGACCGGTCCAAAATATTCATTGGACTGGATTGGACCAGGTCCATTTGTAATGGACTCGTATTGGACTGGACCAGATTGGACCAAATCCAGTCCAATTGACACCCCTAGTGGCACCTAATGGCATCTAGTGTAGCCCAGTGGCACTGAGCTGTCGAAAAATGTTTAAAGCAGATTTTGTCCTGATTTTGAAGACAAAATAGTACAAAACAATTATCAAATAAATGCCATTGATACCAAGCATCCCCTAAATCATTTATCCCTAAATAGCCCTGTTTTTTCATTCCTCATCATTCTCGATAATTTCTCTGTAGTTACGTTCCCTTTCTTCTCCAACCCTAAATTTCTTCCCAGAACGGATCAAACTGATCCATCCCAAAATTCCACAAAAAATATTTATGTTGTATTAAGCTTTAAGTTCACCACCCTTATATCTCCTATTCCGCTGTCAAATTCCTATCAGAAATTAATTTCCTTATTTTGTGTTTGCACTTTGCAGTTATGGTGACCATGGCCATGGTAAACACTAAACTGGATGCTTTCTCCAAAGATTACAAGAACACAAAGAAATCCCTAGAATGACTAGAGCTGAAGTTGTTCCTACAGAACTGAAGATGGAAAAATATACAAGTCTCTATGAACAGTATGCGAAATTGAGAATTCTACGGAACATATTCAAAACTCGGAACATCCAGCATATTCTATATTTTCATGAAACCAGATTTAGCTGGCGTCATAATAGTCCGAACTAATATGAACTTTTCAGTTTTCAGTAACAATTCCTTCCTCAAAAGTCAAAAATAAAAACGATTAAAGTTGAGTCGAGCTAAACAACTCACAGTTCTAATGAAAGGTGCAGCCGGTATCAGCAGCGTCCAAGTCTTCTGATAACGTCGAATCTCCCGAAGTGCCACGGTTCCTGGCCTGTAGCGGTGGGGCTTGTGCTGCTGCCGCTTTGTCGAACCTGAACCATCGTCAGTTTAAACCAGAAAGTACAACACACGAACACATTTCAAGTGAAACATTAACTGAAAAACAAAAATATAAGTTGGAAACAGGGCGCGCTCACTTTCCGGTGCGTCGGCTTTCTTATTCCTAGCATTTTCCACGGGTGCCTGTACTTTTTTTCCCCAAAAAGAGATCAAATTCACTAATCAATTCTTCTAGGATGAGAAGAAAAAATACGTGAGAGATTAAAACAGGATAGAGAAGTACCGGAGTCGCAGGTGATGCGGGGCTTACTCCTGCAGCTGCGATTTAAAGTTAGGAGGGTAAAAAAACAAGGAATTAGGGTTTCACATGCAAAATAAAAAAAAAAAAAAAAAACATCGCAGAGAGAAAGCAACAATCAATAGAGAAAATGAGAGAAAGATCTAACCAGATGACAGACGGGATGATTGCCTTCGTTTCTTACGAAAGAGATGCTTGGTCCTCGCCATTATGATAATGGAGAGGAAGAACGAGAATGAGAGCCAGAGCAACAATTATTACTCGTAAGTTTTCAAACCAAGCTCTGATAATCATTTCCCGCTCGACTTCAGGTTTTGATCTCAGAGCCTTTCTTTTTCTTTCTTCCACAATCCAAACCACGGGCGTAGCCAGTACCCAACCAATGGGTGGAGGAAAGGACCATCGTTCGGTGGAAAACACCGCCACGCAAGATATGTTTTCATTTGAAGCTTGAGATTCTTTCAAGCAAGTGCCTCGTGGCTTTATTTCCTATCGTTAAAAGGAGCCTTTCCTACTTTCCAAATTCCAAGGAGGAGCGAAAGATGTGCGTCATCGTCATCACAAGATTAAGTATTATTATTATTGTTATTAAAAAATTGGGAAAATTATCAAAACAAACTCTTTTTCAAACTCGTTAGATTGCAAACTCGTTTTCAACGTTCAAATATCAATGGCAGTAAAAATTAAAATGCCAAAACAGCCCTTCTGAACTCCGTAATTTTTTAGGAAAATTATTGAAGGAAAAAGTAGGGAAAGCACTAAGCCATTCAGTTCAGCCACTTCAACTGTTACCAAACAGTCCTTCAACTGAAAGGCACATCAACAAATCATTTAACATAGCCACTTCAGCCATTATAAACAGCTCCTAAATTCTGCAAAGGGCTGAATTTTCCTATTGGTGAGTGGTGATGGCAAGTCTACAACGTCTCAGTACCTTCAGCTAATTGGGTAATCTAGGGTCTTTTCCTAACTAAAAGTACAAAAGAGATGTATGATCCATTAACCACAGCTAGTACGACTAACAGATCTGACAGGCAATATATCCAAAATTTATATCAACAAAATGGAATTTCGCTACAAGGAAATTAATGATAAAACAAACAGCAGATCTACAATAACTGCACCTGCAATATATTTATTCTTATTAATACATGACCTTTCTATAATACAAAAATTCAACTAGATTACTTGCTGACTAGATTCCAAATGTTCCGGTCAGACCATTTATCTGCTGCAAGAACACATTCATGGATCCCAGAGTGCACTGAAATTTTAAGGCTGTGAAGGGGAAGGAGAAGTTGGAGGTTTGAAATCTGGATACTGCATCATTGAGAAAAGAGAAAAACAAACATCAGTTTAGAGCACAAAACTAAAAAATTGGATTACTAATACACTACATATTGATGTGAAAAAAAGCCAGACAAGAAAGCTCACCGTTTATCATTTTAAATAGGATAAGAACAAATAGTGTCCAAAAGCGGGATCTATTTAACAAGTTAGCTCGTAAAACTAGCACTGTTTAACAAGCAAGAAAAATCTAAAAATTCAATGCCAAAGGATGAGCATTACATATGGGTATGGTGAAAGTGATCTTGACAATCCTGGAAATGGCTCTGCCTTAACCTCTGTTTTGGGTGCTGAATTGACCTCAGGACTAGGTTTGGAAGCCTGTTGTAATTTTAGTTCGGGATTCAATTCAGTAGCAGCTTCAGTCTTCTGTATGATATCAGGAGTGGCAGTGTTTGATGCTCCCTCCACAGGTTTTGGTAGAGCCTTCTTAACTGTAGGTGATGGTAGAAAAGCCTTCCCGATTTGCTAAATTTTCAACATGGAGAGAGAGAGAGAGAGAGATTATGACCACAGGCAATGGGCGCATCAATATATGAGGATAGTATGCACTAGAATGCTAATATATATGGGACTACATAACCTATCATTTTCATTTTCAAGTACTCCTATGTATTAAAACTCAAAGAGTCAAGAAACCTTGATGAACTTGGTGAAAACTGTATGCATTTGGAACAGATTGATCGTCAGACAAAGTGCCTCATTGGAAATTTAACAAATGGAGATTCATAGTTAGTAGGATGACTTACTTTTATCTCATTGACAATCTCCTTGGGAGCAACCTTAGTGTTCAAGAATTCATCAACTTGTTGCAATGTTACCTTCCGATCCTGTTAATAAAAATCTATGGATGTAAGAAACATTCAAATTTTCATTGTAACATTCAAATAAGGGACATATAAGGAGCTTTTACATCATTTACTCCAAAATTATATAAGCAGGATGATATGGATTTCAGCCTATGCAGCTTATTATGCTATTGGTATAAATATAGCATTTATATCAGCAAGACATCTTAACATCTATTGGAATTTGAAAAGCAGTAAAATCAAGGATAAACAAAGTCGTCTAGTGGTCTAAAATCAAGCTATTTCATAGGAAGATTAAAATTCCTAACATTTCCAACTTTCATTATGGTTTTTCCTGTCCAAGAGGTGGTCTATTAATTTAAGAGTCTTAATAAATTGTATCTGCTCAACATGCAGGATCAAAAGACATTGGTATTGTAGTAAACCAATTAATTGTCCTTCAAGAACCTCTTAAAATGAGAATACACAAGTCAAGAAGAAATCATCAGAGACTCACTTCTGCAAACAAAAGTTTCTTGCTGACAAACTGAACGATTGCAGCTGAACCAAGAAGTTGGAGTATTGTTTCTACCTGCAAAAATTATCCCCAAAGTCATTGAATGTCAATATCCATACCAAATCTAATTCACATCTACCAAATATATAAAAAAAAAAAACACAAAAAGTCATGGCAACCAGAAATGTCCACATTCTGACCTCTGAAAATGCCAATAAACCTAAACCTGTTGCTGCTGCTAATCCAAGGGTAACAGGCAAACCATCAGAACCTTCCTGCACTTAATCTCTTTTTGTCAGAAACTACATGAAAAACGTCACTAATCAAAACTAAAGTGAAATTATTTGCATCATGCTGACACAAAAAATAGAATATGCAGAATTTGCCAAAACTTAATGCTAATATTTCAGAATAGTTTCCTATAGAAGACAAATCCATCAGTTGCATCATCAAAGAAAGCATATTCATGTCAATTTTTTCTTAAAAAATAAAAGAGGATCATCATCATCCATGCCTTACCCCAACTACATGGGGTCAGCTCTAAAAAATAAAAGAGAATTTCCATTAAAAATGTCACAAAATCACCCACACTGATGCTCCCCATCCTAAAGAACAAAAGGTTCTATTCATGGGAAGTGCAAGATGACAGTATTTGGAAACTGTTTCTTATGGCTGTTTCAGTTTCATTTGATTCCTTTTTTTTTCTACCTCATGAGCAACCCTGCCAAATTTGCACTTTGGAAAGCCAAAGATTCACCAAACATCTGTTACCTACTAAACTTGTTACGCATTTAAGAATCAAATAGAAGTTTCAGATGCATACCCCGAATACACCACTAATAGCATCTGTCAAATTGCCAAAATCAAAACTCAGTGTTCTTTTTGGGGGTATCCATGGTAGCCCACTATTCTGCAAAATTTGTGTTCATATCCAAGATTCTCAATACTGAATAAACCAAGTATACAATAAAGTTCAGTGCACAAGGAAAAGGTAAAACAAAAGAAAAAAATAAGTATAAAAGCAAGGAGATAGACAGTGACCATCCACCCTCGGGGTCCCTCTGCACCATCTTTTATGGAATAAGCAGCTTTGAAACCATTTGCAGTGACCAATTCTGCAACTAATTCAGAGTTCCCATCAAACCTGACTTGCATGGCAGTTCTGATGGAGTTAGTCCTGAATACTAGTTTTGGATGTTAAGCAAATAATATATAAATCAATATCAGCACACAGAATCTGACCTTTACACGGATCTATATTTGACATAAGAAATAAATATTAGAAACAACATTGAGTATGAAAAGAGAAATGTAGGTCAGTTGGATCATCCTCTGCTCGGGGAAGCTCCACAGCCTCTAAACTGCTCACAATGTGCCTCATTAATGGAATATAAAACACTAATTGTCGGACATGTTTTGAGTGACTAAGATTCTATGGATGAACCTCAAACGATGGTCCTCAAGACCAGTATTTAATCACCATTCAGTAAATACTAATAGAAACAATTAATAAAATAACAAAACTAAGTGAGTGATACTTTCTGTTATAGGAATTCATCAACAACTGTTAATTAACTTCATCACATGATCAAGAAAACAAAGACACATTGATCAAAATCCCCTAGAGATATAAATCAAATTCCAAGTCACTTAGAAAGCAGCACATTGTTCACCGCTTAATTCAACTAATGTAGTTACATAATCTATGCAACTTTTGTTATGGTTCATAGGCTAGGGTTATATAACCATGTAAGGCCAATACCCAATGTTGGTCCCAGCTATCCGCGGTCTTGGGAGGGGTGGACTGGATATAGACCTGACTTTTGACACTTTTTTTTTGGGGCACAAAGTGGCTGCTCTCAAACTCCAACCAACATTCATATGGTTATCAGCCTGAGGTTTTACAAATCAAGCAATAGCCCTTGGTTATGAATCCGGATTTGCTCCTCACACCAATGCATTGGGAACATCTCCCATAAATGACAACATACAGGTGCAGCTGTGCAGGAGATGTTCCCAATGTGTGGCTGCAAGTTCTGTGAGGTTGATTTGAGGAACGCCCAGTGATGAATCCAGATTTGCTCCTCACACCAATGCATTGGGAACATCTCCCATAAATGACAACATACAAGTGCAGGAGGTGTTCCTGATGTGTGGCTGAAAGTTCTGTGAGGTTGGTTTGAGGAACGCCCTGTGATTACCTGGTTAAGGGTTTGTAGAAAGAGAGAGCAAATTAGCCCTTTGAAAAGGAGTAAGTATGGATAACAGTAGCATGGTTAAAAAGATTGGTGACTTCATGATGGCATTGAATAACTGCAGCATATTCTATATTAAGTTTCAGTTCTATGCATCACTTATTGAACAATCATATACAACTTAAACATCATCACCATCATCCATGCCTTATCCCCACCATATGGATTCGACTAAATGAATCCTGTTTTGCCAATCTGTTCTATTTAAAGCCATATCGACCTAGCAAACCCTTGCCCACTTAACAGTACAATCATATACACCTTGATTCAATTACTTATTTAGCCTCTCATGCCTACAATACAGTAAGTACATTCAGGCTAAACCTTTTGTCTCTTTTATTATGTATTTGTAAGTGATATAATGAATTCTGCTGCCTTGTTATATTTGAACGTAGTTTTGGTATATTGGCATTCTAAAACAATTTGTGGTGATTGTAGCATTGGTGGTTGGACCGGTTTTTGGGCCCTCAAGATCCTTTTTATCTCCCCCCATGTATAAATCATGTAGCTCAGTAAATCTCAGAACTCAGAGAGCATTTCAGAAATTCACACATTTAGTAATTAGAAATTCTTATCAAAACTGCAATTAAGCCTATTTAAAAAAAAAAAGACAATAGGAATCATTAGCGTATAAAGAAAGAGAATTACAGTTACAGGGCCTAGAATCTTACTTGTCTAGAATAAACAATGTGGTATTTTCTGGTTCCTTGAACTTCAAAGAAAGCTTCTTCAAGAATCCGAGTTTGTCTTCGCCATTGTATACAATTGACACAGCTTTCTTCTTCAAACCTCGAATATCTGGGCTACCCACTTCCCTAAATTCCACCGGTGCCCTTATATCAAGCAATTGAGCATCAAGATCATCGGCTAATTTTGCAAAAGCATTCTTTGCAGATTCAATACCCCAAGGCTTAGGCTTCTTCACAACCTGAGACAAAACAAGTGGAAGCGCAAAAATGGTGACTCCACCAACTATAATTGCGGGATTCTCTGCTCCAAAGCTAACAACGTTGTCGAGAAGACCACCCACATCAAAATCAGAACCACCACCAGATGTGGAGGTGCTCGTAGACTGCTCTAAAGCTTCCTCATACGTGAGAGCTCTTGCAAGCCCAGCACTAAGAACAGAAGACAGAACCATTAGGCTCCCATTAAAACTCCGCAATAGAACCTCCGGTAAGTTTGTTGTCGATACGAAAGAATTAGCAAATTTGGAGAATTTAAGTGGAAAAGTTGAAGGAAGCGATGAAATCTTTCTGGGTTCGGTTCTTCTATCAGAAAGAACTGAAACTGGGGTCAAGCGTGCTGCATTAAGGGCCTCCATGGCATAATTCTCGATCATGAAAGGGAAATCTAAGCTCTCAAGAAATTGACAGAAAAGCTTCAATTCTCAAGAGACATGATTTTTCTTTCCCTCCTTTTAAAAGGTAAATAAAGGATTGCAGCATTTCCATTCGGATGGCAACCTTGGACTTGAAGGGGGGGAAGGGGAGCTGACGTGGAAGGAATGGATACGAACCAATAACAAGATTCCGCGTGGCACGTTAAGATGAGACATTCCTGAACTCCTGGCTTCGATTCTTATATGTGGCTGAAAGTCAAGACCATGGTCTTGGTCCTGGAACGGGAATACTGAGTCCGAGTGGTGAGTGGTGACTACAAAAAGTAATTAGCTGTCTGTACTCTGTAGTAGTAGTAGTAGTTGAGGTAACAGTAATGGTCGTTGGTCGGTCGAGCATTTGTGGTTGTGGGATACAGAGAAGCTGAATGGATAATAGATAAGGCCGGAAAGTCTTTCTGTCCCAGCTTCCCGGGGCCGGAAATTACCAGCTAGGCAACCACCAATGCGACCTGGAATTCCGTCCGTCCTCCACTGACGTGCCGGACAGAAACCAGATGCATAACTTGGCTCCGTGGAACAGGAGCAAGCTGGCAATAGACGCAAGACCGAGTCCGACTAGAGAGATCGGGAAAGCTGAAAGCAGCATAAGACGTAACAAGCAAAAGCAACCCTATTTACAGTTTGTCCTTAATGACAACAGTGCAAGAATGGATGACAAAATACTCGGGGACTGGGACTGGGAGGACCACCGCATTGTGTTCGCCGGTCAAGCATTTGTCATTGAGACGGGAATGAGAACTACCCAAGTCCTTAAAATCACAAGAGGATAAACCTAGCTACTTCCTACTTGGGAAATTTTGTGCAGAGATACATGGGATTGGGGCGGATTGCATCATTCTTCTACCCTGGTTTAAACGAAGCTCGGAAGCTGGAATTAACTTTCTTATTATCTAATTGCCTACTTGCCTCTTGTGTGACAAAAGTGCGATTTAGCTAAGACAGATCAAATCACTTTTGACCACCCTCCAAATAGGGCTGCAAACGGATACAATTAAATGGAGTATAAGTAGATTAAAGTTTGATTCGTTTGTATTCAAATTTGAATCAGATTCATTGGATTTATATATGCATTTGAATTGAATTGCATTGCAACTTAGTTATTTCATAGAATTAATAATTAAACTAAAAATACAAAATAGTATATATTATTAATAAAATAAACTAAAAATAACTTCTTTTGGTATTTGGTGATTTGGGAATCGAATCCGTATACAGCTGATCCATCCCACAGTGATACTGTATTTACATTTTCAGACTCAGCTTGTTTACGGAAACTTGCACCCATGCAAATACATGGCTCAGTTTGGAATATGTAGAGTATAAAACACCGTTTCCAAACTGACCCGAAAGTGCAAGTGTGGTGAAGGCAAATTCTGGTTAAGTTTTGCTTCAGCCTTGACTCGCGCATGTGTGCTTTTTTGGCATGGTTTTTAAAAACGAACCGGTGATCGAACCGGTCAGGGGTCCGGTTACCAGTTTGAATGGTCCGAACGACCGGCTCGTTCTGACAAAAAAATTTAAAAAATTGCAAAATTGTCAAAACCGTTCGAACCATTCGAACAATTAACCGGCCGGTTCAGCAGTTTGCTGACCAAAATCAACAGTTTTGGAGGAAAACGGAACCAATCATGTGACTGATTCCTGGTTTTTCTGGTCCGGTCCAATTTTAAAAACAGTGGTTTTTGGTAATTGACTCTTGTTTGTTTGTAAAAGATAAAATAAGAAGTGGAATGAGGTTGTCCCCACCTTATCTGAAAGAGAATGGAGGTATGATGAGGTTATTTCTTTGAGAGGGAGAGAGAGGTTGGAATTAAAATGATAGACCCCATAAAATTGAACTAAGAGGAAAGTGGTGCAAATTTTACATTATTTCTTAAGTCAGTTTGGAAGGAATACAAATGTAAATATATAGTGTAAAACCTTATGTTTTGTATTATTTTATATATATTTGCATTGTATATATTTGCATTTATACTATTGAGCCTATAATGCAAAACTTGCACTGTTAGTGAGTACAAATGAGACAATAAGTACAAAGTTTTCATGGAGGAGCCATGTTTCAAAGTATCGATACTTTGAATATGCAAAAATCATATGCTCTGGGCTTCATTCCAAAACTCTTATCTTATTTTTCTATTTATTTGGTAGGTAATCTGTGAGGCATTATATCACATTAACTATTATCATTTAAAATCATACTGATACACATCGATACTTTCTTTTATTATTAGGGGAATGGGTGGGGAAGAGTAGGGTGCACATGAGGCCCATTAGCCATACTACAGAGAGCTCATAGTTCAACGGGTTTGATCTCATGCCTCCTATTATGGAATTCAGATTAGCTGAATGTTTTAGCTGTTCAGCGGCTGTGGAACCAATGGTGAGGCTCTACACTAGTAATAAATTCATGGGTCATAAAAGACACAGGCCTTATGTATTTAAATACTGGTGTGGAACCTTATCATTGGTTTCATAGCTGCTGAACAGTTAAGACATTCAGCTAAACCTTACTCCCTATTAGGAGGGATGTTAAGTTACCATCTCGACTATGAAGTCATCCGCTAAGAATTGATACTTTGAGCCTTGATGGGAGTGCAAATAATAGTTACAAACAGATGCAAAATTGAGCCAAATGCAAAATTTGTGTTTGGTTCAGATTTGCACTACAAACAAAATTCAAAACAACTTGTATTAAAAGCTTTAACCTATGACAATTTAGGAGTCCACTCATATTTGATCTAATTATAAATGGATAAATTTTAATCACTTTCAATAAGATCAAATTTAAATTTAGATTCAGACAAATGGGTATCATTTGCATCCCTACCAAGTACTTACAGCAAAAGCATACTCTTAGGCCTCGTTCATTTTTTCAAATTTTGAGGGGGGGCGGGGGCAAAGTTGATCAATGGGATTGTAATTCCCATTGATCACTTTTTCCACTTTTGTTTTCCAAATTCATGTGGAATCCATGGAAAAATCACTTTCCTTGAGTATCACTTACCTAGGTAGGTGATACCCATCTCTTAGTTGAATAAGTAACTTCCCCACCTAGAGTTGTAAATTGGGCAGTGATGGGCTTAGTTTTCAAGCCCATGGGTCAACATGACTGGGTGGGCCATGCTAGCATGGGCTTGTGGCATGGCACAATACGGCCTATCCTGGCTATCTATCTTTCTATCTCCGGCCTGAAAATTGTCTAGGCAACTGGTTCCATTTCACCCTTAACCCGTTCTTGGGCCAAAACCCGTTGACTTGGTTAGAGAACCGCTAGCTCGAGCAATTGAACCATAAACCCATTTGACCGGGACAGTGGTTCATGGGTACAACATAAAGAGAGAAAAATGACCTCAGATCTAAGACAAGAACGACCTCATATCTGAGATCCATATACATCAGAGAAGAAGAAGAAGAAGAAGAAGAAGATTGCAGAGGTTGGAAGCTGAAGATAAATAAGATCTTAGATCTGAGATCTGAGATAGATCTGACATCTGCATTTCTATTGTCAGTTTGTCACTGCCGTCACCATTGCCGTTGCCATCATCATCGCTGGTGAAGGTTGAATCCTCCTCCTCCTCCTCTTCCTCTTCCTTCTTCTTCCCTCCTCTTCCTCCTTCCCTTCTTCCCTTCTTCCCTTCTTCCCTCCTTCATTTCTCTCATTTCTTTCTTTTTCTTTCTTTCTTTCTCATAAAAACTAAAGGAGACTAATACTAACATTTGCCCTAATAATATAAACCATTCGACCTAGAAACCGGTGGCCACAGCAGTTCTATTTCCGGATTGGTTTTTAAAACCTTGATATATATATATATATATTCAATTTTATTGTATTTTTTTTAATTTTTTGTCTATTTTGTTAATTTATTTTAAAATTTTCATTATTTTTTTAAATATACATCTAATGACTTGGCCCGGTCTAACTTACAAGCCAGCCTAGCCCACAACACGGCCTGGGCCCGTTCCATGGGCCAGGCTGGGCCGAATCTCTAAAGTATCCCAAAGATAATAAGCACGGCCGGGCCCAGCCGCAGGCCGGCACAGCACAACCCACCAAAAGCATTGGCATGGCCCAATTTACACCAATGATTCTAACAATGACTTATCTTTGTATGATTTACCTAGGAATGAAGCCTCTATACTGTTCTTATGTACTGAGGCGGGATCAACAGACTGGTAAGTTCATATTTGCATGATAGGACAAATGGCAAAGTAAGTTACTATCAGCGCTACTGGCAATAGAAGCCTCAGTCATCCAGTAATTTTGATAAACAAAATGTTTGAAATTTACATAACAGTGTTTAACAATTGGTGGCATTCCTCCCCAATCGGCTGCTTGTCTGCTTATCAATTCCCAAGCTGATAGTTCAAGTGTTTCGACAAGATTGGTGTTCGATTCGCCCTTCACAATTTGTATTTTTTATTCTTTTTCTTTTTTCTGATATTTCAACAAATTTTTCATGAGCGTAGGTAATAAGAATTGTGGTGCAACTAACCATGTGATTGGCCTATTGAAAAGAACTGTGTTTTTAACAATAAAATCAGCAATATTATTATCAAGGAGATGGAGTGATAAATGAACTTACACAGGATAAACCTGTAATTAGAAATTATATGATGAATTCACCAAGGGACCGCAAGGTCTGGATCCAATAACATATTCACTATCTTCTACACATCTCCTTTTAGACAAAATGAACTGTTTTGCAAATTGAATGTTTTTTTTTTTTTTTAAGCCAAGCTTCTACATATCTCCTTCTGTGTAACCTCCTGTGTGATCTGTGGGGGCAGCACCTCCAGGTTTTATCAAAAAAGAAAAAAGTAATTTCTCACCAATAATACCAATTCTGCCTCCATTGCCGTTTGGAAGCTCCATCAACAATAATTTTTAGTATCAACGATGGCCCTTCAGAATTTGTAGGTTATTTGCTGTACTGAACTCAAGTGCTATCGTTCAATTCAGTGTTATCTTCTTAATTTGGCAAACAGCCTCTAGGTTTAGGGTGTCAATTTGTTAAATTTATGGGGCCCATTTGTTGTTTTCCTAACTTCAACATTTATAATTTATAGATCCAGTTAGTTTTTAGTTTATTGACCAAAAATATAACCAGCTTTTATTTTCATTTCAAAGGAAATTCGTGTAAAAGGCAAATAATATAGTTTAGTACATCAATCATGTGATGACTCTATTCGCCCTAACTGTGAGTTCTTAAAATAAATCAACAATTTATTCAGAGTGAATCGACTACTGGTTCACGGATAGGCCTAAAGAATCTGGAGATTAGTAAGTCTGTACCTTCTTTGATGATATTTAATTCAAAACAGATTTCAAAAATATTGTATTTTAAGCCTTAATGGACCGTGCAAAAGTATGGGAGTGAAAAATCTATTTTATTTATTTATTTAGTTTTAAATTTTACTTTACTTTTTTTGCTGCAAATGCATGAATGAAATCTATAAGTATATACTTAAAGCATTGGAAAGGTATAGACATGTTTCTCCCTCCATTTTCTCTTTTATTCTCTCTCTTCTGTCTCACATTTCTTTAGTTTGATATTCAAAAATTAAAAGAATGCCACATATAAGACAAACCTCCTTCCCTATATAGTGGACTCTATAATATTTGAAAATTACAACAATGCCATATATAAGATAAATACACCTTCTTCACCTTGCTATGTTGTCTCTATGATATTAAAAAATTATAGAAGTGTCACATATAGGACAAACTTCCTTATATAATTGACTTTATGGCATTCAAAAATTAGAGTGCCACATACAATTATTTATAATTATTCCATCCCTCTTCTTTCTCAATTCCCTCTCTTCTCTTGTTCTCTATCTCAATTTTTATTTATTTATTTTATTATTATTGTTATCTAAATATTTATTTATTTAATAAAATTAAATAAATTATTTATTTTAATAAAATAAAGGAGATGTGATATCGAGAGAGAGATTTTAATAAACATTTATTTATTTATTTTACTAAATTATTTATATATTTATTTAAAAATAATTTACTAACAAATTATTCTCTCCCCTTGAGCCCAATATTTAGGGCTGTTAACTAGTTGGATCTAGTTTAAGATAACCCATACCAGTCCCATCCCAATAAACTTTTATTTATTTATTTATTTTTATTCAAATTAATAAATTATTATATAAACATTAATTTATTTAAGAAAAACTAGGGTTGAACCAATAGGTTGGGTCTATTCTCATGGAGCTAAATTGACTGAACATAATTACAATGGTTTTAGTTCCATAATTTTGTCTTAATTAATTATTAGATTGATTCTCATTCTTAACTGTCCAGAATTGATTCAGGTTTGAAACCAAGTATTTTATGAAATATAAAAATTTTTATCTTTCATGTAATTTTTATCATGTTTCATGTTTAAAATAGTAAACTTGATAAATAATAAATAAGATAATATTAGTTAAAATGTTCAAGTTAAAAATAAATTAGTATTATTTTAATTATTGTTTTCAATATAATCAGGTCTATAATTTGATTCCAATTAAATAATTGATTCAAGACTAGTTCTACCTAATCCTGATTTATTGACAACCCTAAATTAGACTAGGGCCCACTGTAGTTATTTATTATTCAAAATAATATAATTATAGTTATTTTATTTAAAAAATATAACCTAATTTATTATTGTATATCCAAATGGCATTTTCTATTTTGCCCGTGCAAGGGCTTCCCTACCAGTAAGAGAACTAAAGCAAAATAAAATCGGAGGCAAAAAGACAAAAACGTAACAGAACTTGCATTCTTTGCACTCCCATGCACTTGTACCGGTGCATTGCATTGTAATGGTTAAAGTATCGATATACTCAGATACTTCAAAGCAAATATAGAGCCATAAAAAGCATTGATGCTCCGTTTTACAACTTCCACAGTTCCACTGAAATCGCTTCACACCTGCCACCATTATAACATTATTAAGCTTTGCCAAATATCCCTATTTCCTTGTATTCAGCGTATCGCCAATCGCGAGGCATTACCAACAAATATCATTGGCGCTTAACCTTCTTATTGAAGATTCAACTGGTTTTTTCTTGCCTTTAGACAAGAATCAAATTGCCAATAACCATGTAGTTTAGGTGTTCAGTGAGGGTGTCAAGGACCAATTTTTTCAACACGACATATTGGATTGAGTTGGATTAAGCCAATATATGGTCCATTGCTATAAGATGAGAATATAGGTAACAGTGGACTGGGTTTGAGTTGAAACCAATCTAAATTAAAACGAATTTGAACAGATTAAATGGTCTAGACATTGAATTGGACGGTCCAAAATATTCATTGAATTGGATTTTGTAATTGACACCCCTAGACTGTTCAGTTGGCAATTTGGCATCCCTTCATTTCAGGAGGCACGAGTTTCAACCCTGAAGAAGGCAGGTAACGCAGGTCCTCTGTTGTGATTGCCAATGGGGTCTCAGTGCATCCCCACTACCCTAACCCCACTAACCCTGCTAACTAGGGGTGCCAATTGGACTGGATTTGGTCCAATCCAATCCAGTCCAATGTGAGTCCATTACAAATGGACCTGGTCCATCCAGTCCAATGAATATTTTGGACCGGTCCAATGACTGTCCAATCTGTTCAAATTCCTGTTAATTTAGATTAATTTCAACTCAAACCTGGTCCATTGACACCTATGTTTTTATCTTTTATCACTGGATCAGATATTGGCTCAATCCAACATAAATTCATTATGGACGGACCAGGTCTAATCCAATATGTCATATTGGTCCGTCCAGTCCGTCCAAATTCAATGTCTTATTGGTCCGTCCAATCCGTGCAAATGGATTTTGATTTGGACAGAGTCCAACCCAAAACCGATCCATTGACACCCCTACTGCTAACCAGGTCTAGTGTACAGCACCTTGCCCCCATAGGGCCAAAGCTGCATCACACTAAGGAAAAAAAAAAGGTACCAAAATCAAAAGTTCGCCCTCAAGAGACACCAGTCACACCACGCTTGGGAGTCTTCAAGATATTCTCAAACTAAGAACTGAAAGGCTACATAAATGAAATTCACATAATTATGTTCAAAAGAAAAAAAAAAAAGAATGAGATTAGAGAAGATCGAAAAAATAATCCAAACCTTGCCCAATTTCCCAAATTGAAATGCCAGCCCCCCATGCATGAGCCTCCTCCAGCCTCAAGGAGATTGATTTCAAGGATGGGTAGAACACAGCATGCCTAATTCCGCGGTTATCAGTGTAAATAAACAGGTGCTCATCACTGTTGTCCTCCCACCGCAACATCGGCCTGTGCTTCTCCAATAAAGACATGTATTCCCTCCCAGTGATAGCTCCACCACCTGAGCCTGCAACATCAACGGCATAGGGCATTTAATGAGCTATGAAAGCTCCCAGTGTCTTTTTAAGAAGTGATGTACGATAAGCATGTCAATTGATTGCACCTACTGATTAACCACAATCCTGGTCAACAAGTCACATACCTTCTGAAAGCACAAAATCATTTCCATAGAAGTTGATGCCAAGGAATATCTTGTGGGCTAGGCCCTTTTCACTTGTGCCGGTAGCACCTATAAGCAACTTTAGGGTGGAACGGATCCAGCTCAAAGGAGCATTTGGACCAGGGTTATAAGGACCTGAGAAGTCATATGTCATGAGGGAGAAACCATCTACAGCATTGCTCAAGTTTTGAAGATCGTCAGGGCCAAAATCATGTTCTTGGAGGTTCTCTGAATGTGGTGGACCTATAACGTAAACCAGCTGAAGATGATATTCTGGGTTCCTGTCTGAGCTCACTGAGTGCAATTCTTGTCCAAGCTTTTTGATGAACTGCAATGCCTGAACTTGTATACCAAGAACAGCCCATTAAAATGACAAACTAATATAAGAAAAGAGGAAAACGAACCTTGACCACTTGACAAACAAAAATTCTTTTCCATGTGCTTAATGGGGGTAGCAAAGCCAGATTTTCCACTAAAGAGACAATTCACATGAAAATAACACAAGTGTAAGGCAACTGGAAGCATTTAAAAGCCCTGTAATATGCAAATGATTAATAAATGGTAATGTCACACAGCAGAAGCACACATAGACACAGATCAGACACTAATATATTGGAAAACTTAAAGATATGAAAGAAGGAAATGTTAATTCTAGTGATTATCAAAAACGAAAAAAAAAAAGAAATGTTAAATCCAGTAGCAACATTGTAGCGGTTAAGACAAAGGCATGGCCATGGCCGAAGAAGATGATACACAAGGAGAAGCCACCACAACAAACACAAAAATAGGCAGCAAATGTCCACAAGGAGGAAATAAATGTGAGCACTGGGGCCTCCTTGAGCCTACGTTAAGCTGAATTTAGTAGGAAAACAAAAAGGAAAGGAATGTAAGAAAGACACGTGGTGGAATTTCAGAACAAAAATGTCTTCGCTTTCACAACTTCAAATTATAAACATAATCACACTTTTTTTTGATAAGTAACAGTCACACTTAAAGACTACAGTTTCTAGAAGGAACTAACCTACTAGGTATTGTAGCCAAGTAACTATCAAGGTACTTGATAGTTGATAGTTAGCAGCCTTAGGGGCCATTTGACAATAGCTGATATGCCTGAACTGAGAAGCTTATTGCTTTGTCCTTTAGGCTGTGTTTGGTTGCAATGCAAATGAAGTAAATTAAGACATGAAGCAGAATAAAGTAAAATCCAAAACAAAATTAAACAAGAATTTGCACTTTTTTACATTTGCACTCCCATGCATTTGTACTAGTGCAAATAAATTTGCACTGCAACAAAAAACAGCCTTAGTAAAAGTTTTTAAGGAGGCTGTGGACTCTTAATGGCCGAAACTGAAGCGTAGATTACTACACCCTTGAACATTCTATTATTTAATTATTTATCTATATTTATATCTATATTACTATTAAAAATAAGAATGAGAATGTGGAACTTTTGTTTGACTAAAATACCACAATTTTTGAATTTGGTTGCTTTCTAATTGTAAGGACAAAAATGTAATTTGAACAGCCATTTTTCTTCTCATTTAAACCCTGCCCATTAAGTCTTATATTTAAGGTATTAACTCCCATTTACATTCATTGAATCATATTCTTGACTAGAATACCCCTATTTTTGAATTTGGTCCCCCCTAATTGTGAAGGCACAAAACATAATTTGAACTAGGGGTGAGCAGTATTCGGTTAAAACCGAAAAACCGAACCAAAAATTTCGGTTTTGTTTTTTTCAGTTCGGTTTTTTCGATTTTTGGTCAATTTGGTTTTGGTTTTTAGAATTAGAAATTCAGTTAACCGAATTAACCAAACTTTCTATTATTATATATAATATATAATACATAATATGTAAGATATAATAATGTAATATGTAATATATAAAGAATAATATATTATATATTTATATATTTATATAATAAAATGAAATTCAATTTTATAATATATAACATATAATATATATTATATGTTATAATATATATATATAATAGAGTATATATTATTAAAATTTGGTTTTAATTGAACTAACCGAAAATTTTGGTTTTGGTTGTTTTCGTTTTTCTATAATTTGGTTTTGATTTCAGTTTTTATTTTTTTAGTTCAGTTTTTAAAATTTCGGTTTATTCGGTTCGGTTTTTAGCCGAATAAACTGAATGCTCACCCCTAATTTGAACCACTACATTTCTCCTCATTCAATTCCCTCTCATTAAGTCTTATATTTAGGATGTTAGCTCTCATTCTTTCATTGAATCCTATATTAATTAACCATATTAAAAGAAAAATAAGTGTGACAAAAAATAATTGTTTTTATTGATGATAGAAATAAAATACAAATTTAAAACCAATGCAATGGAGTTGTTTTCCTATTTGGTGGTAGGTAACAATTCAACCTTTTTGGGTCAAATGTGTAAACCCCTAATGTCATAATTAAATAATAATAATAATAATAATAATAATAATAATAATAATAATAATAATAATAATAATTAAAAAAATGAAAACACACAAAAGTATAAAAATAGAAAATATGCAGAAAACATTTGGCTGGGCAGCTGCACATCTATAATATCGCATGTTCATCATATTAAACAAAAATAAGTGTGACAAAAAAGAATAATTTTTATAGACAGAGAAATATAAAAAAATTGTAGAAAATTTTGGAAAATATTATTTACTATAATCATCAGCATCATAAAAAACTGTCTTGTGCAAAGCACACACACACTTACTAGTCCATTAAAAGACAAAGCAAAATATGTCATTCAATTTCGACGCTTCAAATGGCCCCTTAATGATTTTTGCAGTTCCCAGGCAATAATTATCTGGAATTAACTCTTCCTAGGTTTAATCTGCATTTCCACAGTAAATACTTTCTCAATCTCATTTATAGCATTTCCTAGAAGATTTTGGAATTCGTTATAGTTTATGTCACTTATAAACCAAAAAGAAGTAAGCTCATTGCAGCTAAGCGCAACTTTTAAAGGAAAGCCGAAAACAACAGAATATCTGCAACCCCAGGAGTTGGCCTCAGCTTACCAGTCTCCAAGGCCCCATCCCAGTGTGCTTGGCCCACATTATTGAATTTGCTAAGAGTCAAGAACCCATAGACAAGGAGGTTCATGACTTCATTTTTTTGGCTATTCTTGATCCTGTAAGCAAAGCTTCTATTTCTTTACTCATAATTTGCTTTTAAAATCAAACAATAAAAAAAGCAGTTAGTCCTACAAGCATCATGCTAACACTTAATTAGTTAGCTTTCATTACAGAAAGTTGTAATTACCTTACTCCGCATATCAGGATCATGCAAGACACCATAAGCTGCCCACCTTGACCAGGATTCTAGTACGATACCATCGTATCCCATCTCTCTATATATCAAGCAGTGAATGCACGAGAAAAGATCAGCAACAAATTAAAATTCAGGTACAAAGACAGATTCAAGTGAAGTTACAGCATAATGCGTACAACCATAGAATATTAGGTAATATGAAACCCTCAGAAAGGATGTTTCCATATCTTTTGCATGCATGCAACGAGTTTAATACAGGAATGTGGCCTGCCTCTTAATACATGTTTGTTATTATATATACTCATAAAAATACAACAAAGCATATTCATTATATAAGGAGATAGAAATAACAGAAAATGAAGGGAAAACAGATAAATAGAGATGTATGATAACAGTGTATCCATGGCCATGGATCCCAGATTTGTCTTAGACCATGGGTTTCTGTAAAAAAAAAAAAGTACCCCTTATCCTAAAATTTCCTGGAAAAGAAGAGATGAAACTGGAAGTGTAGAAACATAGAAGAAGGCTTACTTGCACTCTGTTACAATAAGATCAATAGCTTTGTTCCATTGCTTCTTCTTTCTAAGCAGTTCCTTGGGAAATGCTTCTAGAACAAATCTAGGTAGGACCTATTAATTAAGATGATACCAACCACATAAGGCTAGCCGATCCATATAATGAGCATGCAGAATAAAGGAGACTGAAATTAAGTTGTAGAACAGGATATGTGATGCAGGAAACTCTTATGAAAGTCCTATCTATTGATGACAAATTTCTAACATGACAACAAATTGAATATGCAAAAAACTACTGAATGCTGAAGTTCTGATTCTGAACAAGCCAAGAAATTTTAGAATAGAGAAATACTTAATGATGTATTTAAAGTGCAATAATCTCAATACATCTAAAAGTATTTAAAAGAAAGAATCAATAATATACTCAACCCAGCTTTAATCCCAACTATTTGGGGTCAGCTACATGAATCCTTCCCCACCATTCTGCTCTATCAAGAGCCATTATACAGTATCCATGTATTGCATAAAACTATCCAGGATTCATTGTCATAATGGATTGACTAAAAGTTTTTATGTCAGCAGTCAACCTGACACAACCCTCCTCCCTATCTAGGATTAGAACCAACAGTGTAAAACAAGCTAAAACCAGAGAATCTTGAAAATGATTTACATAAACATAGTCATACATGCTTACATAAATATTTTGAAGAATAAATGCAATGATCTCAAATAACAACATGATGATATTTATCTTGCATGGTTTTTAACTACAATGCCTTGCAAAACTTCCATTTCACAATAGGAACTAAATTCTTTATCTGTTTGACTTTAAAACAGCCAGTTTTATTTCAGCAGCATGCTAAATGGTTGTATTTCCAGTTCCCATTAAATATTATGGATATTGTTTTTCTACCACAGAATTTCAAGGAAGATGTCAGGATAACAATTATACCAGAGCATGTCTGTTCACTCTAAGCTCAGAAATCCATCCCAAATCAGCATTATGACGTCCCTCCAGAACTAACTGGGTGCCTTCACTTTAGTTGGAAAAGCTAAAAATCACTAAGAATTTTAACAAACAACAGAAGTAACTAAAATGAGACATCATGCACCTTTAACCATACCTCTTTAAATCATACCATACAGGTGATATGTGTGTAAGCTTAGAGTTGAATCTCTTTGCCAATTCATAGCCTTTGGAATTCCTGAAGATTACAGAAAACCAAGAAACATACCTTAATTGTTGCCTTCACCATGTCGGATATTCAAAATATGAACAATGCTACCCTTTTTAGAAATGAGAAACAAAAGACTATCCATAAAGACTTTTTGAAGAAGTGGAAGCCTTCAGTTCTGTGCATTCAGGAAACAAAGATGGAGGCAATGTCCAATGAGGTGGTCCGATCATTGTGGGGGGATGGGGACTGCGAATGGGAGGCAATTCCTGCAGTGGGCACAGCTGGGATCTGTTAATTGTTTGGGATCCTTCCTTTCACTCGATCCAGGGAGTGGTAAAGGGATTGTTTTCAGTGTCTTTGCTGTTCCAATCTGTTGACTGTAATTTCAGGTGGGTTATGACTGGGGTGTATGGGCCAACAGAGGATAGAAGTAGAGGGGACCTGTGGGCTGAGTTAGACGGGATAAGAGAGAGGTGGGATTTCCCTTGAGTAATTGGGGGGGATTTTAATACAGTCAGATTTTCCTCGGAGAAGAGGGGCAGTAATAGTAGATGTAGGGGTAGACAAGGTTTCTCACAGTTTCTGAGAAGATGGGAGTTAGTGGATTTACCTTTATTGGGGGCAAGATATACCTGGACAAACAATCAGGAGGATCCTGTGTTAGAGAAGTTGGACAGATTCATAATTTCCATTGACTTGGAGGATAGCTTCCCTAATCTATCCCAAGAAGCATTGCCCCATCCTATCTCAGATCACTCACCAATCCTTTTGGACTGTAAAGGTTTAGTCACCATATGAAATCCACCTTTCAGGTTTGAACACTTGTGGTTGGAAGAGGAAGGCTTCATGGATCAGATTAGAAGGTGGTGGGAGGAATACTCAGTAACTGGAACAGCAAGTCATGTTTTCTGTAAGAAGTTCTCCTATGTAAAGGCTGAATTGAAACGATGGAAGAGGCAGGTCTTTAAGGGGGTAGAAAGGAGAAGACAGGATCTCCTAAAGGAAATAGTGGAGGTGGATAGGGCGGAGGAAGAGAGGAGTGTCTCGGTAGAGGAGAGACAGAAGAGGGAAAGGGCAAAACTTGACTATGACAAATTATGTTTCCAAGAAGAAATTAAATGGAGATAACACTCCAGATGTCTGTGGTTAAAACAAGGAGATAAATACACCGCTCTCTTCAATAAAATGGCAAATGGCAGAAGGAGAACTAATTCTATTAAGAGGCTGGAGGAAGGGGGGGAGGTGATTGAAGGGGAAGAAAGGATCAGACAAACAGAAACTAATTATTTCAAAGATCTCTATAAAGAAGGGTGGACAAGAAGACAAAAGCTGGATGGGCTATCTTTCAAGAGTCTTTCTCAGCTGGAGGCTAGCCAACTGGAAGTAGCGTTCTCAGAAGAGGAAGTAAGAGCCGCAATTGAGGAAATGGAAGGTGACAAAGCACCAGGTCCAGATAGATTCACAATGGAATTTTTTTTAAAAGAAGTTGGAGTTTCATAAAAGAGGACCTAATGAAAGTTTTCCAGGAGTTCCATCAGATTGGGGCATTCGAAAGAAGTCTAAACTTTAATTTTTAGCTTTAATTCCCAAGAAGAAAGGGGGCGGTGGGCTTGAAAGATTTCAGACCAATAAGCCTTGTTAGTAGCATCTATAAAGTGGTGGAAAAGGTGTTAGCTAAAAGAATGAGAGGGGTGATGGGAAAGGCGTACGACCATGTAAATTGGGAGTTTTTGGAGTGCATGCTAAAAAGGTTCAACTTTGGGAGGAGGTGGAGGAATTGGATAAAGGTGTGTGTAACAACAGCCAGCTTCTCTATATTGCTAAACGGTGTTTCAGGCAGATTTCAGAGCTCAAGGGGTTTAAGGCAAGGGGACCCCCTCTCTCCCTTGCTATTTATTTGTGTCTCGGAAGCCCTAAATATGATGGTGAATAAGACAGTAGAAGGAGGATTACTTGAAGGCTTCAAGGTGAGTCAAGGAGTGGAGGTAGCACTGCTGCAGTATGCTGATGATACTCTCTTTGTCAATGCGACAGAAAATCAAGTGAAAAAAATCAGAATGATTTTGATTTGGTTTGAAGTGGTCTCTGGCCTGAAAGTCAATATGCATAAGAGTGAGCTAATGGCAATGGGGAACAGTCCAAACTTGGAAGTATTGGCCAATATTGTAGGCTGCAAGGTTGGAAAATTGCCAACAAAGTACTTGGGGATGCCGCTTGGGGAAAAGTGTACTTCTAAGAAGATTTGGGACTTGGTGATGGAAAGAATGGAAAGGAAACTTACCTCTTGGAAATCGAGGTATCTTTCAAAGGGGGGGAAACTTACACTATTAAAAAGTGTTTTGCCTTCTCTTCCTACCTACTTGTTGTCTCTCTTCTTTATTCCAGCTAGTGCGGCTAAGAAGTTGGAGAAGACAATGAGAGATTTTCTTTGGCAGGGAGGGAAGGACGAGTTTAAATTCCATTTAGTCAGTTGGAGCAAAGCTTGTAAATCTAGAAAGGCGAAGGGACTTGGGTTTAAGGAATGTGAGAAAGTTTAATTTGGCTTGTCTTGGGAAATGGTATTGGAGGTGGAATGAGCAGACTACAAGTCAATGGAGAAAAGTAAGAGGCTAAGTATTGTTCAAGGAACTCAAATTGGGACCCAGGGGAATCAAATTTAACTTATGGGTGTGCATTCTGGAAGGGTATTCAGAAGTCAGAGGAGGCTTTCAGACAAGGTTTAAGAATGGAAGTAGGAGATGGTTCAAGAGTTAGATTTTGGAAGGAGGTCTGGTGCAGGGATCAACCTCTTAAGGACAGATTTCCAATCCTATTGCCACCAACAAGGAGTGTTTGGTGTCAGAGGTGTTTTCTCAGGTTGGAGGGGCAGGTGTGTGGTGCCCCAGTTTTAGAAGGAACCTGAATGATTGGGAAGTGGAGCAATGGGAGGAGTTGATGCAGATCCTGAGCATGATAAGGGTGGATACAAGTTTCCACCCTGTGCAGGGAGGAGGAAGATAATTTTCCCGAAGACCTCATTTGGAGGATGGTGGCTCCTCTAAAAGTTTCCTTTTGTCTATGGGTGACGGCATTAGGGAAGTGCTTAACAGCTGACAATTTGAAAAAGAGAGGGTGGGTAGTAGAACCAAGTAGATGTGTCCTATGTGGCAACAACTCTGAAAAGTTGGAGCATCTCTTCTGCACTGCAGATTTAGTTGGGTGATTTGGATGAAAATGTTAGAGGTTTTTGGAGTTCAGTTGTGCCTCCCAAGGAATGTATTGGATCTGCTACGGGGTTGGGTTCTAAGGGGTCTGTCGAGAAGAGGTAAGATTGTATGGAAGGTGCTGCCAGCGTTGGTGGTGTGGTCAATCTGGTCGGAAAGAAACAAGAGACTCTTTGAAAATCAGTTGAGATCAGAGGAGGAAGTCTTAAAAAGCATTTGGGGAAGGTTACACTCCTGGGTGGCAATGCACAAACTGTTCAAGAATTGCCCTTAGAGTTCTTTTTTGGAGTTTTGAAATCTTTTTGTATGATGTTCTTTTTTGGTTTTTCTGAGTTGTACAAAGCTTTGCCTTGCTCAGTTCCTCAGTGGGCAAGGCCGGATCTTTTTTCAGTCTTCTGTTAATGAAATACTTTACCTTTTCTCTCAAAAAAAGAAAAAAAAGACTATCCATAAAGATAATTAACCTGCACACAGGGGTCATGGAGTACAATGTTACTAGTTCCATCTGGAAGCCCATAGCAAGAATTCACCACCCCAACAAATTGATTAATCAGTACAATAATCCTATATAAAACAGAAAACTTGACAATTTCAAAAAAAAAAAAATAAATAAATAATACCATCGAAAAAGTCAGCAAATGATTTTGGGAAAAACATATGGGAGATTTCAGCTCATCTCTGGATGGTAGTTCATAGCAGTTAGTTTATAGTACATAGAGGCCGCTCTGTTCCTGGTTAGCCAGTAATGTTTAAGAAGAACAAAAAAAGAAGCAAAAAGTTCCTTTTTCAGTTTGTTGCAAGACTGTCATGAATATTTGAAACTTTTCCTTTAAGTTGATGAAATTGATTGTTCTCCATCAAGATGTGGAAGACTTGTTTTCCAGTAAAAGTTTTTCTTTTCTCTACCCCTTGCAAATTCTATTTTCTGGTACATTTTTTCGGTATAAAACAATGCTCTTTCCAGGACTGCAGAGCGTAAATGGCATATGGAGGTTTATGATTGTTTAACACCATGCCTCAGACCTTAGTAGAGCTGTGTCGTCAGCAGTCTCTGTTACTTTTTTATGAGATGATAAACATAAGGCAACTTATTCCGTTAAACTAAAAGAAATGCAAGTTCCCCAAAGGATTCTACTCTGCCACGTTATGAATATGAAAGAAAATATAGCTAAATTTTATAAGTTAGAGATAGAATAAATAAACTTCAAAATAGTGTTATGCTCAAATAGGCAGACCATCGTTAATCGACTTAGTCGATGCTTAGTCGTCCTAGGCGACTGCACCATGGTTATCGACTGAGCAGTTAAGCTCTGAAAATTAATCAAACTAGCTGCAAATGAACAATAACAACAATTATCAATCTTCATTCCTCAAACCGCCCTGCTCCCACCACATTCCCCCATAAACGAAAACTGAAATTACATATTCGAAAAAATAAAGAGCTTAAAATGGATATAATCATATAACGGAGGGCAAATAATTGTTCAGATTCAATCAGAGCAATTGAATGATCGTTTTCGTCCTTTTTTTTTATTTTGATTAAAGCTGGTAAATGATGCATACCACGGAGTGACATAGGCTAGTACAGGGTACTTAAAGTGCCGATAAGACGTATTTTCTGAGACCTTCAAATTTTCCTGAAAATCTTGGAGAAGCAGGGGAAACAAAATCAGAATTTGCAGTGAAAAGCAAAATAATTATATCCAAAATAAAAATACAATGGAGGCGGTGAAATTAAAGAGAAGGATGAAATTGAGAAAAAAAAAATTACTTACAGCGAGGATTTCTTGGTAATTGACGTTTGTTCGAACGAGGCCTCTGTCGTAGACAGAAAGGAGCTCGTTCGTCGAACGTGGATTAGATTTTATGCGGTATAGTGTTAGCGATATGATCAGAATGAGGATGGAGAAGAAGACTAAGGCGACGAACTTGCGACGGTCGGGGTGGCGTTGGGAAGCAGCGCCTCCAGTTTGATCCTCTTGAACCTCCGGCTGGACCCTATTTCGACGACGGTCCCGATCGGCCGTAACTCGCCTCTTGGCCATATGTTCAGCGATCCAAAGTCGGAGCTAAGCAATCAGACAATGTCTTCTTTGATAAAGAAAACAACTACAAGTTTGTGCAAGCAGAAGGAATCAAGGAATCCTTCCTTTGTTTCGTTAAAACCTGCGAGCTGGGATCCGATGCCGATCATCTGAACACTGAACACTGAAACTGAAACGCAAAATGAGTCGCGATGGAGTCCACTAGAAGACGACGGTCAGGATTGGAACTGTTGTTAAAATCGTTAGATTGGAATCTTTTAATATCCTTACTCGGCGAGAAATGCTGCTAAAACACGAGCCTTTGCGGCTCTTGTACTCTTCATCAGTTTCAGATTGGAATCTTTTCCAATCTTGCATTGGGAATATCTCTTCATAAAATAAACATATAAGTATGAAAATATGGTCAATGCAAGACAGTAAAAACTGCTCGAATGGGCTTTGCCCCTGACTGAAGCCGAAATCGATGATAATGGGCCGGGCCATGGCGAGATGTATTCTTACTAATAATTTCCGTAAAAGCATTTTGAACTGCCCGTCCCGGCCGGGCCGGCCCAGCCCTCATTCTGGGCTTGACGATATTGGGCCGGGCATCTAGGCTTGTCAATATAAGTTAACAAAATCATTTTTCTAGAAAAGTAAAAGGTATATATGTGTAGGGATGCAACTCGGATTGACCCATCATTGTATATTATTATGACAAAATCCTAACTCGAATCCACCTAAATTGCATCCCTATATGAGAAGAGCATGGGCCAATAAAACCCTCTCTCTGGTGAATTTTGGTAAGTATCAATTGATAGGTTATTTCTTTTATGATACTAGTTGACTAGTTATAAGTTTTTTTTAGATATTATGACTTTTTAGATAATATTAATAAATTTGTATATATACTAATATATATATATATACACAAACATGTAGTGAAGAAATTTTCTCCTTATGTTAAATTTTTTATTTTTTTTATTCTACGTTATTTTAATTCCAATGAATCACCTTTCTCAACCTATAATTTGTTTTGGCCACGTCCCATGACTTTCTTAAGTCATGCTTGATCACAATTTGAAGAGTTTTATCACGTCAAGCATCCTACATCGTGTGCAACTAGAACTCCCACTATTCTTTCTTCATTTTAGAGTAAAACAAAAATGCAGATTTCACATATCTTTGCAACTCAAAAAATTATTGGGAGTGTTTTGGACGAAAAGGAGTTCACATATCATCGTGAAGGAGAGAGCGTTTTGGACCAAGAGGAGACGGAACTACACTCCTCGAGACAAAAAAAAAAAACAGGGGCAGAACTCACTAATTAAGTCGTCTTCCTTTCCTTTTTTTCCTAAAACCAGGAGTAGAACTAGAAACACATTATTTTGGCAGAGAAAACACTGTTTTTTCAGGCGTGAACAAGCTTTTACTCTTGAATCCGGGTACTTTTTCTCCATCTTTTTAAGTTCATTGTATAGTGCGAAGACTATTTACAATCGGGTGATGTTGCCCCATTTGTTTGGAAACTGGTCAAAAATTTGTTTGGAAACCCTCTATTTACAATCGGGTGAGGAAGACAATGGGAAATGGGTTGACGCTGACCCATTTCCAATTAATGTATAGTGGGTTGATGTCGACCCATTTTCGATAATTTGTCATCACCAATCTGTGCGCCACCCATTTTTGGATATTGATGCTTTAGCATATTAAAGCATACATATTATGACTGTGAGACAAAGACCCCATTGTACTATGACTGTGAGACAAAGACCCCATTCTTTTAGCTTTCCATTAAAATCCACCGTTATAATATTTTTTAATCTCCACACTACCCTTATAATAAAAAAACATTGTTCATCTTCCCTGACTTCACAATACACCAATAGGATGGAAAAGGCAGCAATGAGGATGGAGTGCTGGTTTGGTATGTGGAAAACTCCTCCAATCCAAACCAGCTAGCATTTGGTTGACGGAATTGGCCTCAGGGTTGCTGTTAATTCACTTCTTGGAGTTCGTTGGTGGAATGTCCCTGAAAAGGCAGAACTTTTTTTCCAAAATGACGAGGCATGTGACATCTGCAAACGATGGCAAGGAATCCAGAACTTTTATCACTATTCAAACTGATCCATTTCCATGCAAAAAAAAACACCCGAAGTGATTTTGGTACCGATTGTTGAGATTTTGCTGGTGATCAGAGACCTTTCATAGAGAAATTGAGCGACTAGATTGAGAATGACAAGGAAGCAGAGGTTGAACTTGAAGCATTTCATCAGATTAGTGATGATGAAGAGAACCCCAAAAAACTCAACTACGGTGGGATTTTGATAAAAAGAGGCATGGGCTTTGTTTTTCTAAAGGCAAGTTTTAAGTCTTACAAAGAACTAAAGAA